TTTTATTCAAAAGACGTTGCGTGCGGTATCAAAGGAAGATTCATCGAAAGCGTCTGGCACCACCACCGCACCATTTTCATCCGCTGAAGCTGCCTGTTCTGCGGCAAGTTCTTCATCGGTGAGTACAAAGCCAAAAATATACTTGTTCTTCGATATGCTTATATTCTGTGTAAATGACAAAGCATTAATCTTTACGCACCAGCTTCTACACTTGCCTTCAATATAATAGGAAACGTGGCTTTACTAATATTTTTTTCCATTGATGTGGTTGGAACAGATTTTCCTTCAGTTTTTTTCTCTCTCTGGATGTTCATTTTGAAATGGGGGTTTTATAAATAAGCACTCGTTTGGAAATTTCAGTAATGCTTTATTTATCACAATTTTGTGAGAGTTATCGTCTTAAAATTTGTTACTTTAAATCAATCGTAGTTGCTAAGCTCTTGTTGGTTCTTCTTAAAACGTAGATTATTGATTTACATGAACTTGGCATTTGTACAGCAAAATCACGTTTACCTTACGTCTGGACTGACCCAAGGTTTAGCGAGCCTGTTCATATTTATTTCGCAGCAACCCACAAATTATGATTTTGCTATGTACCCTTAGATGGGATATGACACTTTCCATGCATATCGATAAATTAATGTCATAAAACTATTTGTGAGAAGTAGACACGTATGCGCACTGCTTGTCGCTACTTTTCCCTAAGAAACGGTAGTTTTGCGTACGACATCATGAATTCACTAGTGCAGTTAGTTCATCCAAAAGCGAATATTGCAAAAACAAGAGGTTTGTACAGAATGCAGTTATAAGAGTGCCCAAAAGTAATTTGTTGCGGGAATCATATGGTGGAGTAAGTTAAAATTTCATACGATCAGAATTCGAGCTCAATAGTTATAGCCACCAGAGAGCTAGAAAAACTATTTCATGGGCAGTTTCACATTAACCGCCACATTGTTCTCGTCAATACTGACTACACTATGTCGCGGCTGTCCAGAACGTTCGCAGCTGAAGTCTTGAAACCCTTTACACTGAATCTCTTAATCACTGAATAGTACCCTTTACGTCATTGCTACTAAAGTTATTGCCTGCCGTGAAAATGCATACATGCACATGTAACTACCCTCCTTACTAAGTAGATTTTACGCCATTCGGTGTTTTTTCGTAGAAGGAATGCGTGAGTGATTCAGATGTAAATGTTTCACTGCTAAAGGTAATTCAGACACTGTCAAGCTTGCAAAGTTCGACTCCTACTGATCACAACCGACACCATGTACAAAAAATTCAGCACCTGCGGGAAATTTTTAAAAAGATCGGCATCAAGGAAACTAGCCGCCAGGTAAAATCAGCTTTAATTGCCTTTGCCCTTAATTGCAGTGCCTAAATTGTTAGGGCTTACAAGAGCTTTACGATTTCACGGTCAAATATCCGGAGTGCAACATAAAACCACTAGTGGACAAGTCCACACCGTTCTTCCAGCAGTATATACTCAAAAGTTTGGAGAGCATCGCCGCCAAACAGCGGCGGAACCAACACGATTCTAACAAACTCAACGATGCTAGAAGAGTTGGAGGGACTGTAGACATGATGATCAGTGATACTGGTAAAGTTTTAAATAATCTATCTTGTTCCACCGTATGACGTTGTCCGTTATAGATTCGAATGTTGGAAACCGGTTATCACGAGATAGTTTTTCTTCTCCTGTCGCAAAGCCATACTTAGAACGGCTCCTATCTTTATCGACAGAGCATCTTGAATCGGTACGTCGTTAATTTTATAGCTGTATAAAATATTGTTCTGTATATATGATTACACAGAACCTAATAAGATCAGTGCATCCAACAACATTCTATCCGACACTTTCAGGGTGGTCATAATGTAAATTCTGACGAGCAGATGTGCGATGCTGATTCTTCATGCCCTGAACCATCTTCGCTGTCTTCCCATGGCGTATCAAGTTGTCCAAACTTTGCAGAGTATCGTAAGAGACTGGAAGAAATACGCCATGCGTCATAGCATCATTTTCATTTTGTTTTCCATGTTATTTCAAATATTTAAAATATTTTTGGCTTATGAGAGTTGGCCAGATACTGTTATGATTCGTAATTTAGAAGTAAATTCTAAACCCAGTCTTTTATGCAATACATGCGAATTTGATTAATATAATAACAAAGCATTATGGAAGTAAGAGTTAGTAGTCAGCTT